CTCCCCCTCCCTATTGTAGACACTTTCTTCCTCCTTGACATTACATTGGTACACTTTCTGGCTACTGTCTCTCTCTCTTGTCACTTTCTCTTCTTTTTCTCTTCACTCGATCAAATCTTTTATTTATTTTTGTTAATTGTTTGTGTGATCCGTAGTTAAGTAATTAATTAATGGAATTTTCTTTTATTATTATTATTATTATTATTATTATTATTATTATTATTATTATTATTATTATTATTATTATTATTAGTATTATTATTATTATTATTATTAGTATTGTTGTTGTTGTTGTTGTTGTTGTTGTTGTTGTTGTTGTTGCTGCTGCTTTTGTTGTTATTATCATCATCTCCACACTCACTACCTAACCTAACCTAACCTAACCACCCCACCCCCCATCACGGTACTAGAGGGGGGTGGTGGAGGGGGGGGGGGCGGGTGTGAAACTGGTATATACAGGTGGTATTTGTGTGGTATTTACATTTGACATTTGATAAAGGTTCCTGTGGTATTTGACCTCTCACTTCCCGTCTGCTGGTACACCGGGGAAAGGCTATTGTGGTTAAAGCCTTTGGTTAGTGGCAGAGGATAATGAGGAGGTTAGTGTGTGATCTATCTATCTATCTATCTATCTATCTATCTATCTATCTATCTATCTATCTTCATCTATCCATCCGAGGAATCCGCGTCTATCCGAGTGAATCCGCGAACGCTACAGGTGAAGGGGCTGGTGTAATCCGTCTTAGATATATTGGCAATGGTGTTGACCCTATCATATGTATAGCCTCCTCTTCCTCTTCCTCTTCCTCTTCTTCCTCTTCTTCCCCTCCTCTTTTTATTTTTCTCCTCATCTTCCTTTTCCTCCTCTTCCTCTTCCTCCTGATCCTCTTCTTTCTTTTCCTCCTTCTTTTCCTCCTCCTCTTCCTCTTCCTGTTTCTTCTACTACTCTTCTTGTTGTGTATCATCATCATCTCTCTCTCTCTCTCTCTCTCTCTCTCTCTCTCTCCCCCGGCGTCACAGTAGAGGGTCTCAGGTGTTTGTATGTTATGTGTTGTTTTGTGTTTCAGGTGAGATATGTGTGTGTGTGTCCCCTGTCGTGTTGGTGGTCTCCTTCTGTCTGTCTGTCTGTCTCTCTCTCTCTCTCTCTCTCTCTCTCTCTCTCTCTCTCTCTCTCTCTCTCTCTCTCACCATAACACGACACCATTACCCTAACATAAAGAATTTAATTTCACATTGAGTTCTCGCGCAGAAAGAATTTAATTTCACTTTTAATATATTTTCACAGCCGAGTATTTAATAATGTTTGTTGTCGTGAGGGAGAGAATTATATCCCGGTTGACTGATCACTCTTATGTTATTAGTTTATTTATTACAGTTTTAAAACCTTTTGTCATGTGTGTGTGTGTGTGAGTGTGTGTGTGTGTGTGTGTGTGTTACTTTGGTTATATCTGTTATTGTTGTAATTGTTTTTGATATTGATGTTATGATTGTTGTAGATGTTGTTGTTGTTGGTATTAGTATTAGTAGTAGTAGTAGTAGTAGTAGGGAGACAATACGTAACAGATCGAAGTCAAATATTGGTTCATATTGTGTGTGCTTGCCTGGGTTTAGACGGTGTGAAGAGATATTTGTTGTGTGTGTGTGTGTGTGTGTGTGTGTGTGTGTGTGTGTGTGTGTGTGTTATATAAGGGTTAAGACATGTGTATGGGCGTGAGAGAGAGAGAGATTGCCTCACTCCTCGTTCCTGGTGTTGTTCGCATCAAAGGCATCAACTAAGGCGGGTGTATTTCCCAAGATCTCTTTTCATTCCACCAATCACAGACCAGATCTCCCCGGATCAAATGTTTACGTCGAGTGTGGCGACCATGACGCCTCACGGTGACGTCAGATTGTCGACGCCATTTTTTTTCACGTACCAGAAGGGAATTTAGTGAGAAGATGGAAGGAGAGAAGGGGAGACATCATTCAACATACTGTCTCAAAGTTTCAGGGTCGATACAGAACGGTCTCAAATTTCCACCTAATTAAATCATCGTTTCGTATTACTTCTCTCTCTCTCTCTCTCTCCTCTCTCTCTCTCTCTCTCTCTGCCAACCTATCTATCTGTTAATATAATAACATACACACATCAGGACGTACAAACAGACACAGAGAACGTACAGGAAAAAATATACAGAAAGGAGAGAACGGACAGTAAAGGCTCCAAGGACAGATCACCCAGCCACCAGATCATGCACAAAGTGAGGCTGTGTGTGTGTGTGTGTGTGTGTGTGTGTGTGTGTGTGTGTGTGTGTGTGTGTGTGTGTGTGTGTGTGTTACTAAATATTTATACATACGATACTGGGAAGGAAAAATAGACGGTGAGAGTGGACAGAGGAACGACACCGTCCTCCACGACAGGTGATTGACAATTGACTGACGCAGTATCGCTTGGCAGTATTAGTATAATCATATTAAGACTAAGTGGCAACCCCCCTCCTTCAATTAAATGGAATGGAAATTGACGAACTGACAACCCTAAATATTATGATTATATACACCTTATTAATTATAACCTGTTAATTATATCCTGGTAAATAATTATTCATTTTATGTTGAGTTAATTAATTTTATTGAATTATTAGAATTGTATAATTATTAAAGTTAAGTGGTTAACTCTTCCTCCAGGTTAAATTAAATGGAAAATGATCTACTGACAAACTTGTGTGTTAATGATTTTAGCGATATTACCTTCCATGTTAATTTTATCAATGTTAATTTATTTTTCCTCCCAACACTATCAGCTGTTGGGAATCATCTGATGCTAATAATGTTAACTCTTCCCGGTCCGTGAGACTAATGGTGATTAGTATGCCTTAATGGTCGTTGGCACCTCCCCCTCACCTTCCTCCCCTCCCTTCCCCCCTCACCCCTCCTCACCTCCCTTACCTCCTTCCACCCTCCTTACCCCCTCCCCCTTCCCCCCTCCTCACCCTCCTTCCCTTTTTTCCCTTCAAAAAACATAAATGGTATAAAGAAGAGGAGAAATAGACGAAAGGAGGAGAACGAGGAAGAGGAGGAGGAGGAGGAGGAGGAGGAGAAAGGAGGAGGAGGAGGAGGAGGAGGAGGAAGATTGTAAGGAGGTCATGTAGGTTTTACGGGTCAAGCAAGACGGAAAAATATTGGGAATTTTTTTTCTCTATAGGAACCGTGAGGTGTCTCTCTCTCTCTCTCTCTCTCTCTCTCTCTCTCTCTCTCTCTCTCTCTCTCTCTCTCTCTCTCTCTCTCTCTACCATACTTTAATAACATGTATTTTTTTCTACAAATAACTTCTATCTTTTTTTCCAGCCGTCCATCGGTCATTTTTGCTCCCATTGTGTGGTAAGGTATCCATCCATCCATCCATCCATCCATCCATCCATCCATCCATCCATCCATCTATTCATTCAGTCATTCATTCAACCAGACAACAAGCAATCCATCCGTCCATTCATCCATCCAGCCATCCACCCGGTCATCCCAAAATTACTCCACTTACAAAGTTGTATTTCAACTTTTGGAACAGTACGTGAGGTTTGGCTCTCTCTCTCTCTCTCTCTCTCTCTCAATTTCTGTCTGTCTGTCTGTCTGTCTGTCTGTCTGTCTGTCTGTCTGTCTGTCTGTCTGTCTCTGTCTGTCTGTCTGTCTCTGTCTGTCTGTCTGTCTCTGTCTGTCTGTCTGTCTGTCTCTGCCTGTCTGTCTGTCTCTGTCTGCTGTCTGTCTGTCTGTCTGTCTGTCTCTGTCTGTCTGTCTGTCTCAACATGAAACCACAAAATACATAACACCGGCAAATGGACTTAGGAAGTTCCTTGTGTGTGTGTGTGTGTGTGTGTGTGTGTGTGTGTGTGTGTGTGTGTGTGTGTGTGTGTGTGTGTGTGTGTGTGTGGGAGAGTTCAGCATTTTACGTTGTTACGTCGTAAAATGGAATTAGCGTTAAAACCGGAGGTAGACTCTGTAACCCGGATGTTTGAGATGATGAGTGTTTACCTCTGTTCACTGAGCTATATCAGATTAGGTAAATAAAACAAAGAAAACAAACAAAACTAAAAAAAAAAAAAAAACACAGACAAACAAAAATGACAGAAACAAACACATTAACACGATTAAAACTACCGTAATAACAGACAAACTTACACTCGTTACTGTTAATTAAATGAGGCTCAGGTTGGAGGGTCACTTACACCCATTGACTGTGTTTCACCTGTTAATTAGCGACAATAAATCAGGTACATCGAACAGTAGTGAGTTTTGTTAATGTTGTTATTTTTAATGTGATTTATGCCTTAACTGGTGTGTGATGAAGTGTGTGTGTGTGTGTGTGTGTGTGTGTTGTAGACAATATACCCGACTACCCTCTAACCCATTGACCTTGCCTAATCCCACCCCTTCCCCTACCAGCACTACCCTGCCACCCCTACCCATTACCACCTACCCATGCCAACCCCTACCCATGCCAACCCCATGCCAACTCCTAACCGCCAACCCTACCCATGCCTTCACCCATGCCAACCCCTACCCCTGCCAACCTTACCCTCTAACCCCTTCCATGCCAACCCTACCCATGCCACCTACCCATGCCTCCCCCTACCGCCTTCCCCTACCCATGCCAACCCCTACCCTTCCACCCCTACCCATGCCTCCCCCTACCCAATTACCCCTGCCAACCCCTACCCCATGCCAACCCCTACCCATGCCTCCCCACCCATGCCTCCCCCTACCCATGCCTCCCCCCACCCCACCCTTCCCGATGAAAGAGTTATCATTTACATTTTCCTATGAGATTAGCTAAGGAGGAGAACACTCTTTAATATTTCAACATCTCCATTACCTGTGTCGTTAAGGGGGTGCCACACTCGTTCAACCAAAAGCCCCCCTATCGTGTTTTCCCTCCTGGCTGTGGGGGGAGGGGGAGGGGTGGAGGATGGTTATGGGTGGCGCGGTAGGTAGGTGGTGGGTGGCGCATGGTTGATGGTTCAGTAGGTGGGTGGCTGTAGTAGAGAACGGACGTAGCTGGTGGTCAGGGTAGGCTGGTGGTTCTTCTCTCCCTCCTCACTCTCACTCCTCTCACTGTGCGTGCGTTAGTGAGCGTATACAACTACCTTGTGTCTGTGTTTTGCTGTGTGTTTTAATCATGTGTTTGTGGTATCACCTGAAGTATTATTATCTTGTTAAATTGTAAAAAAATACTCCATTGAATATATGTGTCTGTGTCCGTTGCGTATATACCCGTGTGCGTAACCTGTTCGGTGTGCGTAGCCGTGTCTGTACGTTGCGTTAGTTTTATGTAATTTTTTTTTTTGGGGGGGTGACATGTTTTCTCACTTGGTTATGTGTGGCTGTCCGTGTCTGTGCGTAACCGTGCATGTAACTGGAGATTTTGGCTTTTGTCTGTGTACAACTGCCTGTATATAACATGATTTTAAATATCCTGAACTATGTATCAACTCGTATTTCCTCTGTCTGTGTCTGTGAATTATACCGTCAGTGTCTGTTAACATGGAGTCATTCCCAGGTGGCTGTGTACGTCTGTGTGTAGTTATGTCTGTTCATAGTCATGTTTGTGCGTAAACGTGACCAATACATCTTTACGCCGTTATATGTCTGTACGTGTCCATATATAGCCTCATGTGCGTATCCGTGTCTGTGTAGTCATGTGCGTTGATGATGTGCTTTTGACTGTTCGCGTCTGTGTACCTTGGGGGGTTATGTGACTGTTTTAATGATGATCTGGTCTGTGTATTTCCATGTGTGTGTGTGTGTGTGTGTGTGCTGGCAGTTTCTATGTACACCCTTTTCTGTGCGTATCTATGTCTGTTCTCACCTGGCGTTGTCAGCTATGGATGTCCGTGTTTCGTCTGTAACCCGTTCGTGTGTTGTCCATGCCCGTCCGTAACGATGTCTGTCCGTTGCTGTGCGGTGGATGAGGGTTGCCGTGTGCGTGTACCGTGTCATTATAAGCGTGTGCGTGTTATACCACCATCATGTACGTCTGGCTGCTACTTAGGCTCTCGTGTACGTGTCACTTTTGACTCTATGTACGTTTTTTCATCAAGTAATCGAACTCATGAACGTGTAGCTTTTGACTCTGTGTACGTTTTTATCATGTAATCGACTCATGTATGTGTAACTCTAAACTATGTACGTTTTTATCATGTAGTCAGAGTCATGTACGTGTAACTCTTGACTGTCTGTACGTTTTTATCATATAGTCAGACTGGTCATGTACGTGTAGTTCTTAACTATGTACGTTTTTATCATTTAATCAGACTCATGTACGTGTAAGTCTTAACTATGTACGTTTTTATCATGTACGTGTAAATTCTGTCTGTGTGCGTTTTAGTGATTTACCATATGCGTGTTCGGTAATTTTTAATCCCAAATGAAAAGTTATGACAACTATTAATATCCCCGTATATTATTGTGCGATACTGGATACAATCTAACATTATACTGAATATATTAATAAACTTCACTACCGCATGAATTAATTATTTATAATAGTTTGAGTTATAATTAAAACTCAACTTACCACTATTATATATAAGATAAAGATTTAGTTAACAAAAAATAAATAATAAAATAGCAAGGATATTATTTACGTGCTGTTGTTTTTATACTTGTGTTTTAATAAGCAACATAGGTTTATTTTTCTTGATATAAACGACAAATTCTATTCTAAATATGAAAGTTTTTTTAAATTCCAAACTATATAAATCGTCTATTTTTTTAATATTAATGATAAATTCTATAGTAAATGCTTCTGGTCTTTTTCTAAATATAAATTTCTGAAAATTCTACAAAAAACGTGATATTTTTTTTCTATATAAATGAAGAAAAATCTCTACAGTGAATTTGCCTTTGAGTGTTGATAGATGTACAGCGTTCAAGAGGTCAAGTGAACGTTCATGAATGTGTGAATTAGTGAACGCTACTTTTGAACACCTCTTTTGCTTTATTGTCCGAGTATTTTATGTACCGGTAAAGTAGTATAAATATTTGTATGAAAAAATGCTATGAACTCTCTCTTGAACATTTGATATATATTGAACACCGCTTTGAACACTGTCCCCTCCCCATAAAAACGCTGTGAACTCTGTCTTGATCATTGATACTGAACACTATTTTAAACGACTGTGAACAAAAAAAAATCGCTTAGAAATTCCCTTGAACATCACTGTGAAATAATAGACATATATATGTGGGAATTAATCTGATTCTTATTATCTAGTGACATACATTCTTATATCATATTATTATAGCAATATATCTACACACCTGCTCCAGGAGACAGGTGTGTGTGTGAATTGTACTTGGTGGCTATAGTGTTTGTATATGGATATAGGGCACGGCTAATAGTATGGGCAGGCGATAACTATAGGTTGTAGTAGTCGTAGTAATAGTAGTAGTAGTAGTAGTAATAGTATTGTAGATTTAATTCCGTTTACATAACTATTTTACTAAATGTTGTTATTTTATTACATTAATATTAATAGTCTAATTAAATTTATGTTAATGTTATTACCGTAGCTGATGATGTTGTTACTATTACGGAATTATTGATACTTTAATTATAACCTTTGGCCTCTCTGTCATTATTATTATTGTTGTTATTATTATTATATTATTATTATTATTATTGAGTCTGTAATATATGGTATTCGGTTAAGAGAATAAAAAACCTTACCGTATGTCTCTTTGTAAATCATGGCTCTGAGTTTACGAGAGACGGTCGTTTATCTGTTTAGTTCAGAGAAGCCGCAGTACTAGTCATCGGGCGGCCAGAAGCTATAAACGGCACGAGTTATAATCGGCACAAGACTCTGGCCCACACTATGTGTTTGTGGCGTGTGGTGGTGTGGGGTGAGTGTGTGGTTGGTAGTACGTGAGGTGGGAGTGTGTGGGGTGGTGGTGGTGGTGATGGTTATGATGATGTTGGGTGATTGGTGAGGGGTGAGGGCAGGAGGGGTGAGGAGAGAGAGAGAAGAGAGAGAGAGAGAGAGAGAGAGAGAGAGAGACTGGTGTTTACATGAAGATATTCTCGGAGTTGTCATCGTGGGAGAGGAGGGAGGGAGCTAGTGGGGAGGGAGGGAGAGGGGAAAAATGTGTGTGTGTGGGGGGGGATGGAGAGGGAGGAAGAAGTCACTGCGACACACAATGTAACCGTCCTCACGTAGCAACCTCCTGCCCAGAATAGGTGAAGAGAGAACAGGTAAGACACAGGTAAGAATGATCGAGACTCTACCTTTACCTTACCTCTTAATGAGTCACTTACTTACATCCTCACATCTCTCGTAAGATCCTTTAAGTCTTTCCATCAAGATCATTACCCTGACTTTTTCTCTCTCTCTCTTCAATTAAAGATGTGAGAAAGTATTTAATTGACTCACTTAAAATAGGAGGAATTTTATGGATTCTTTAGAGGCTCATTAATTGGACACGGATCACCTCGGATTATACTAGACTAACACCTTACCTAATCTAACCTAACCTAACTTAACCTAATCCACCGTACCCAGAGAGAGAGAGAGAGAGAGAGAGAGAGAGTAAGGTGTGAGGGAAGATTTGATAGGGTGAGAGAATGTTGAGAAGCGGGAGTCCTATTATATTACATACATACATACATACATACATACATACAACTTATAAAAATATATATAAACACAGGTATACGTACACACACACACACACAGAGGCATTAAACTCTAGCCTTTGACCTGTGTGAACAAAGATCTGTCGTGGCAGTGATAAAATGCAAATGATCCGACTGTACCCGAGCTCAGTGGCCCTCTGTAATACGTTCACCTTCCCTGAAAATGAGAGAGTGAGGGGGGAGGATGGGAGAAAAAAGGAGGAGGAGAGAGAGGGGAGGATGGTGAGAGAGGGAAAGAGGAGGATGGAGGGATGGGGGGGGAGGGGAGGATGGAGAGAGGGGAGGAAGAGGGTGATGAGGGAGGGGGGGGAGAGAGAGAGAGAGCAAGGGAAATAAATCGGGAGGGAGGAAGACAGAAGAGAATAATGATAAAAAATAAAACGGAAGAGAAAGGGAGAGAAAAAAGAGAGGAGAAATTGAGACAGATTGATAAAAATAGGAGAAGAAAGAAATAGAAAAACAGAGAGAGAGAGAGAGAGTCAATGTTGGGTCAGGTTGGTGTGAAATCGGACGGTAGTTTGTCTGTCAGCGTGCGAATGTTGACAATTTTTAGCCAATGAAAACGCAGATTGGAATAACGTAATCTAATTGGTTAAAACGTCATACTAATGTTATCATCCTGAAATGTTATGTGAGTATTTTGTATCTCTCGTTATACTGAAGAATAATACTTAACATACACATAAAGTATACATAGATGAATACTACCCCTGTTTATCAGTATATATAAACATATACTACATTAATTTTAATATGTATACAACTATACGTAGACTAAATATAGTGTTTTATCTGGTATACATAGAATATTGTAATAATTTTAGATATTCATGAATCAATATATAAATTACGTTCTCATGTATACATAAATTAAGTCCACATGTATACACAAATTACGTTCGCATGTATACATAAATTGACTTTCAAAGATACATAAATAAGCGTTGTAATGGTTTCAATTAATATATCTTGATTATATTGCAATTGTTTTAATGTATATGTATAGAGCATGTATGAACATGGCTATTGCAACATTTTCATTGAATTTACGACTGGCAAATACTTTTTTTAATTCTTTTAATTCCTCGTCAAAAGCGTATTGAGTTTACTTTGAATACGCTTTGATACGCAATTACATAGACACACACACACACACACACACACACACACACACACACACACAGGTAACAAAAGACCCACTACAGGTGTACATATACAGGTAGTGAATGGCGTCAATAAGCGGATTACCTGCACACACACACTCTCTCTCACCTGGACCGGACTAATACCGGATTACATCGTTTAGCGGACTCAGGTGTTGGTGAAGAAAGTGTGAAGAAATGTCTCAATATTTTCTTCTCTTCTTCTTCTTGTTTGTCTTCGTTAATTTATTGTCACTTCCTATACTTGTCTTTTATCGCTTTTTATTATTATAGATAGATAGAGGCGGACGGATGGATGGCAGATAGATAGATAAGATAGATAGATTGATAAAAGGTTGTAATTTAATCCCTCGTCCTCCAAGGGTTATAAGGCTCGTCCTCCAAGGGTTATAACGCTCGTCCTCCAAGGGTTATAACGCTCGTCCTCCAAGGGTTATAACGCTCGTCCTCCAAGGGTTATAACGCTCGTCCTCCAAGGGTTATAACGCTCGTCCTCCAGTGGTTATAAATCGCTCGTCCTCCAAGGGTTATACGCCTGTCCTCCAAGGGTTATAACGCTCGTCCTAGGGTTGTTACCTCATCCAATCATCTGCGTCATTAACAATTTAACGTCCAATTTCATGCTCTACTCTCAAGTTGTAATCTACTCTTAATTGAATATAGCTTATAATTTTTTAAATTATCCGTTATACTTATCCGTTGACGAATCATCCGTTAGATTTATCCGTTGACGAATCATCCGTTAGATTTATCCGTTGACGAATTTTCCATTAGATTTATCCGTTCACGAATTATCCGTTGGCAAATTATATGTTGAGTTATCCGTTGGCGCATCATACGTAGTTAAATTATGTGTTGGCGAATTATTCATTGACTATTTATTTGTTCAGTAAATGTCGGTGTCATAATTCAGCAGCTGGGTATTATATTATAGTAGGGCTATGGTTGGGACTATGGCTGGGACTATGGCTGGGACTATGGCTGGGATCATGGCTGGGACTATGGCTGGGATCCATAGTAGAGTTAACGAGGCGATTAATCTGATCTAGTGGTCTGTGATCGGCTCATTCGGATACTGGAGAACTTATTGGGCTAATTATCCGAATGACTTCTTCCTCTTTCTTTCTCAACACAACTTCCTCTTGTTTCTCATTATTATCTTCTCCTCTCCTCCTTCTCCTCCTCCTCTTTTCCTTTCCTTCTCACCTCTCCTCCTCTCCTCTCTTCCTCCTCCTCCTCCTCTTTGACACAATCTAACCCGTTATCTATGGGTTCCATCTTGGGGGCTTATTCTCTCTAACCCAAGCCGGAAATATCGTGGAGCTCAGCAGCGGGTTCTCTCCAATACAACCTGGAATTATCAACAGAATACAATGCGCGGAATCTGTACGCATTTCAAAGGGTCTATAGATATTAGGGGTTATGTTATGGAGTTTAGATCAATAGATAAGGGTTATATAATGGTTTAGAACATACACACCCACACACACCGTTCTAACACTTCCATCACTCCCATATCACCCCATTAACCTCCTCTACTCCCATCTTAATGTATGGGCTGAGACTCATTCATTATGCATGGGGTGACCCAGGCGTTGGTCTGGCTCGCTAGATAGCACTTTATTGCCCCGCCCCCGCTTCGTCTTGGCCCATCACCAACACACCCCCCCATCACCACCCCCATCACCACCCCCATCACCTCCCCATCACCCCTCATAACCCATTACCCTCACCATCTATTGTCTACCCTCTGGATATTAAGTTTCAAATCCTCCATTACTAGTTTAGAATATGAGGCGACACGGTAAAGGCTTGGGTGGGTTAGGGTGGGTTGCGTGTGTTTGGTGATTGGGTGGGTTGTGTCGTTTGGTGGGCTGGATGGGTAGGGTGGGTTAGAGTGAGCTAAGGTGGGCAGGGTGAAGCATAAGTTAAGCATGATTGATCTGGTTCGTGGTAAACCAAGACGCGTAGGAGGAAGGGAGAGGTGGAGGGGGAGAGAGGTTGATGTGGTGGGATGGAGAGTGTGGGAAAGATGGAAGAGGAAGAGAGAAAAGTGGTGGTGGTGGTGGTGGTGGTGATGGTGGTGGTGGTGGTGGTGATGGTGGTGGTGGTGGTGGTGGTGGTGGGATGGTGTAGTGGTGGTGGTGGTGATGGGAGTGGTGGTGGTGGTGGTGGTGATGATGGTGGGTGATGGTGGTGGTGGTGGGTGGGGATGATGGTGGTGGTGGTGGTGGTGGTGGTGGTGGTGGTGGTGGTGGTGGTGGTGGTGGGAGAAATATTGTTGGAGAGTATATGTTAGTGAAATATAAAAGAGAAGTGAAGAAGAGTGAGGGTGGAATAGGTAAGAAGAGGGGATTGGGAAAGGTATGGGAGAGGTGGATGAGAAGAGAGTAGGAAGGGGAGTAAAGAGGATTAGCAGAATGTTGGGGAGAGTGAGAGTGGTGGAGAATGTGAGGGAGAGAAGTGTGGGGAATGTGGGAGAGTTTGGATAGGAATGTACTCTCAGCTTTGGAGAGAGAAAGAGAGAGAGAGCTCAGTAAATGGCTATGAACATCCCCTAATATATCATGTTCTTATAGTACAGTATTACAAACAATCCTTGCTAATAGGTGGATCCTGGTGTGTGTGTGTGTGTGTGTGTGTGTGTGTGTGTGTGTGTGTGTGTCCCTGCGTGTGTGTGTGTGTTTAGTGTGTCATTAGGTTAAAAGATTTTATAAACAGTGTTGTCCATCCTGGGAAGAAAAAAAAACTTTGATTGAGGAAGCGCCCCTAGCGGCAGTACGGGTAATTAAGTAGGTAAACAAACAAGCCCCTATACCCCACCCAGAAGCCTCCCAACAACTAATAATTTACTCAAACTTTCTAGATCAAATGAACTACTTAAACGCTACAGAAAATCGATAATGGATACGTATTTACCAGAGGTCTTGGTGTGTGTGTGTGTACAGGCCTAGAGGTAGATGTATCTCAAGGGGTCTAAGTGTTGCCTCTGTCTCTCTCTGTGAAGTTAATGGAGAGAGAGAGAGAGAGAGAGAGAGAGAGAGAGAGATACTTGGTGTGTTTGAGATATGGCTGAGGGTCGTCCTAGTTGTTAAGACTTGTATGTGGAAGAGTGTAGGGAAATGGTTGATAAAGATGGGAAGAAGAAGAAGAAGAAGAAGGAACTAATGAATCCTCTCAAAGACAAACAAACCAACAAACAAAGAGGGATTTAAGCAGTAGTTTCTAGTCACTGTTGAACAAACACAAACACTCGATTATGTATTTGTTTGTTCTTGTTCATATTCGTGTGTCTCTGTACTCATACAGTGGGCCATGTACTTAGTCTTACCCACCTTGAGTACCATGAAAACCCCGTGAGTACTATGACGACCCGTTGAATACAATGACTTAACCCTTTGAGTACGATGACTTAAACCTTCGAGCACGATGACTTAACCCTTTGAGTACGATGACTTAACCATTTGAGTACGATGATTTAACCCTTTGAGTACAACAAAAATACATAACTGTTGTATGTATATCTTCCCAAATGTATAAACTAATACACACAATACAAGAAAATACGCTAACTCCTGTATATTTTTCATTACAGGTAGGTAGGCGTGTATGGTGTGGCGATTGATAAGAAGAATACAGTAATACAGGCGATTCCTTGTTCTACTGTATGAGGACATCTTGCTGTGGACAGTGTTGGAGGTGTGGTGGATAAGTGGATCAGTGTAGTGGATCCGCTGAGTGATAAGAAGAGATTGTTGGATCGTTGTGAGGTGGACTGAAAACAACCATTTGGTGGATCTTATTGGAACATAGGGGAGTTAATTTATATTGGTTGGATTAACAAGTGGATTAAAGTTTGTGGATATCGATTAAAAGTGTGTGCATGTGTGTGTGTGGATCTCTGTCGTGGATCTGAACACAAAGGCCCCCTCAAAAAAAAAAATCCACATTACCTGGATTAGTCAATACCCGAGGGTGGATCAACAACGTGGGTATTACGGATTACCCTACCACCATCATGTTCGCCAGTATCAACGCCTGACGATGCTCTCCGCCAGCGTCAAGATGTTCGATATCGTGTCTATGGTGAAGTGAGACTCACAGACATACGGACCTCAAGACTCCTTCCTTCATGAGCCTCGTCAAAGCCTGAGGTGAGTCTTATTTACAGTAGACTTAAACACACTCTAAGACTTAACCCCGTGAGCCTATATAAGATGTTGATACTCTACCAGAAAGCCTTTAAGAAGTTTACAGAATACCATATGAGATAACCAGAAGACTTCCCCCATAGGCCTATAACCATAAGCCTATAATTAATCTCCCTCACGTGGTATATCAGAATTATACTCTTAATTTTATATATCAAGTTTTAGTATAATCTGGTATATTAATATGATTATATACGCTAATATAACTATCTGTCTTCATATACATATAGGCATAAGAGTTATTATTTTCAGCCTTGTTTGTTATCAATAGTTATCATTACCGCTGTTTTGTTATCAAGTGTTATCGTGTTCGTGTTATGTTTGATGTGATTAAGTGAAGATTATTTATACTGTATTGGAGGAGAGGAAAGTCTTACAAGTCTCTCTCTCTCTATGTCTCTCTCTCTCTTTTCCACCTTTTCTCTCTCACTACCTTCAATTCTTACTCCCTCCTCTATTTATCTTCATCATATCTCCCTCGCTCTGCCTATCTCTCCCACCTCCACCCCACTTCCTCCATCCCCCTCCCTACCCGTCCAATTATCCTTCCTTCCTTCACCCTCCTTTATCTCCCTCCCTCCCTCCCTCTCTCTCTCCCTCTCTCCCTCTCTCCACCATCTTGGGACAATGTACTGAATCTCTCTCCCCAAAAAACAAATTGGAAAACCATTATTGGCCCCATCTGTCAAAATTTGTCATGCCAATATATATTTTACTAAATCCTGTTAACCAAGACTTATGGAGAAAAATATATCTTGTTTATTTGTATAAGTAAAATATTAGACTAAGAGATGAAGTTTATTGTTTTGATTAATCTGTCAGGTTTGTCCTTACTTATAAGTCAAACTTTTCGTGTGTGTTTATTTAGCTCAGTAAATTACGTAAAGTTTCCTTAATTACCTTTCTTGTTCAACTTGCGGCACCTTACACCTATAGTTTCTGAAGTGTAGTGATATATACGGGTTGTGTTATTTACTGGTGAACATAACTACAATATATACGGATTGTGTTGTTTCCTGGTGAACATAACTACAATATATACGGATTGTGTTATTTCCTGGTGAACATAACTACAATATATACGGGTTGTGTTATACTAAAGAAACAAACATACAATTTTCTCCATGGGTTTTTATAGAGTAGAGATCGTCCCTGTAAGAATCCGGGTCCTTTAGGCAATATAGAAAGAGAAAAACACTTACCTCAAATAGCGTTCTTTTAACCCTGTGGTAGTATGGTGGTAGTGTGGTGGTGGCAGTGGTGGTGGTTGTGGTTGTGGTCTTTGATCTCCTATACTTATTTAACTAACTTATTTCTACTACATAATTCAGGAGGCAGACGTCTTGTAGTTCATCAATACTTAAATCAGGATTCTTTTCCCCTCTATTGGAATCCGGATTTGTCTCTAAGCTTATGAAAACGAATAGATACAAAAATATATATATGAGGTGGGTCGTTCGTACAGCATAAAGCGGCGAGGATTAAGTTCTTCAATACTCTCTCTCTCTCTCTCTCTCTCTCTCTCTCTCTCTCTCCTCCGCCATCTTGAGAGACATCTAGTGGCCGTGGAATGTACTATATCTCTCTAAATATTCTGTCACAACCAAATTAAATAAATATAAAACACAAATTGGGAAACTGTTTCATCACGCCAATACGAATCTTCTTCATGACTTAAAACTTCTATCAGAGGAAATGTCGTCACCGTATAACAGTCCTTCATTATTTCTTTCACAACTTTCATCTGTTTTTTTTATTCATTTCATTCATTTTGATTTTAAACTGAAATTCTTCGTTTATAAGGAAAAAAAATATAGCCAGTATGTATATATTTCACCGTGGGAGATTGTCCTAATTGAAAGTTTAATTAATTAGTTCGACCCTAGAGGCTAATGACGCCCGAGACTAATTATTTCAACTTAGTTCTGTACAAGATTATAATTAGTTGAGATTGAAACCATTTTTGTATATACCGGTATATTTTAGTTCAGTAATCCTCTATGGTTATCTCTATATAATAACATTGACTATATAAAACTTATTAGATCATACCTTTACTCTCTGACAGGTAATTATTATTAGTTTTTATTTTATGCAGTTTATAGCAGGTTTGGTTGGTTAGGATTAATGTAAGTCAAGTACTGTGTTATTTTTTAGGTGTTTTCTTTTATATGTGTGTCCCTGTGATGTACTGTACGATAGTTTGGTTATTGTGGACGTGTTTACATTTTTTCAGGTGTTATATAGACCGTGTATAACATTCGATACAACTCACCTGTGATAATAACTGATAAAATAAACAAAAACACAATAAATGATGTTAATATCTGAAAATTATTACGAGAATCATGACTGTTATAGTCTCGATGCTCATTTGTTTTTGTTTTTCATCTGTACTAAATGGATTCGTATTAGGATTTTTGTTTTTTCTAGTTTTATATGTTTGTTATAGAAGTTGTTATAGCGAAGGATGAACCCGGCTCTATGTGTGTGTGTTGATCATTCATTTAAGCCGAGAGACCGACAGGCAAACATCTCCTTGTGTTGGTGCAGCAGTAAGATCCAACCCTTTACCCTCACACAAGAATCCCAGACCCCTTCCATTACTGAGGCGAAAAACACATACCTGAAATACCGTTCTTTTAGGCTACACATTTCTTTTTATCTTTTTATACCTCAGATGAAACAACGATATTTTCCCTAAATCTTAAAGGAACTAAAGAGGGAACGTATGCTATTTGACGTTCGTGTAGGAAGAGGGAGAGGCGAGGGAGGAGGCCTATAAAGGGATGAGTGAGTGTCTGTTCATCATATACTAAATCCTCACTACACCAGAAGACATCGCAACCGACACTGCACTCGACCGTCTTCACTTCCCCAAACTGTATAATTAAGTATTCATTTACAGGTGGGTAGAGTGAGGGATGCTCTGTGACCTCTTAGAACACGAGGTGAAGGTAGTATCCACGGTAGTATCCCCCTACCTTTAATAACATACCAACAGACGTTTTACAGCGTTCGTGTCACCAAAATATAATCCAGAATATTTTTTTACTGGCATATACACCAAAAAAACTATACTTTATCGTTTTTTTAGGCAATAAATCGTCCAAAACAGCTTATAAAAACGATGAATAATCCAACTAGAGTCATATCGCGTGTATATAACCAAGATAGACCTGAGACGCATTCTTTTACTGTCACGTAAAGGAACACATCCTGAAGCGTTCGTGTACCATCGGTCGTTCTTTTAGTATAATCGATACAGCATAGTGTTTCGTTTATAATATGAGGGGATTATGTAGTGGTGAAACTGTTTATGTATTTATTTATTTAGTTTGATTATTTAGTTATTCATTTGTTTAACAGTTGTGATTCTGTTGAGGTTGGCTGTGTTGTGTTAGGTTGTGGTTATGGCAGAGCCGTTGTCATCTCTCTCTCTCTCTTCCTTTTTCTCACACCCGTCTCACTTTATCACTATCCCCTATCTCATTTCCCTCTCCTTCCGTCTTCTCTCTCACCTACTCTCCCTCCCTCTCACCTACCCTCCCTCCCTCTCACCTACTCTCCCTCCCTCTCACCTACTCTCCCTCCCGCTCACAGCCTCTCCCTTCCTCCCTCTCACACCATTGGTTGGTTTGATGGTGATTCACCCTACAACATCTTCCAAGCCATTAGGGATTTAATCATCTTCTCTCTCTCTCTCTCTCTCTTACAAACACAAGATTATGCAGTATATAAACATTGAATATGGTTATTAGAGAGAGAGAGAGAGAGAGAGAGAGAGAGAGAGAGAGAGAGAGAATATGCAAATTAAGTAAAAAGGCAAGTTTAAGATATTCTCAATAAATCTTTCTCCAGATATCTATTATTATTATTATTATTATTATTATTATTATTATTATTATTATTATTATTATTATTATTATTATTATATCAACATAAATTCTAACTTTATTTAATAATTCCCAGAGTTAAATATTTTCTCTTAATACAAAAGTAATCCTCCTCAGACATGTCATCTATATACTTTGATTATTACTTTTAATACTTTGTTTAACTTGAAGACTTTACCTCACACACAACCAATGATAAAACTATTTACTTCATTAATATAAAAAAAAGTATTAATATCAGGAATATAGTTTATTTTTAGTTGACTTTGATAAACTTTAAAAAAAATATTAAGTTTCATAAAGAATAGTTTTATTTTTTGTTATTATTTATTTATATAATATTTATCTAGAGAGGTGAGGTGAGGTGAGGCGAGGTGAGGTGAGGTGAGGTGAGGTGAGGCGAGGCGAGGTGAGGTGTGTGTGTGTGTGTGTGCGTGTGTGTGTGTGTGTGTGATATAACATGACATAACGTAACATAATTATAAATCTTCTTTGTTTGTAAATATTGGCGTTTTACACATACATACATACATACATACATACATACATACATACATACATACATACATACATACATACATGTACAATTCCCTCCAACTACCTCGCTCAATCCCTTCATCACATACTCGAGAACCACCCCCTTCCCTCCTTCCTCCCCCACCTTCCCCACCCTCTCCCCTCCTTCTCCCCCACACCCTTCCCCTACCCCTCCCCTCCCTTCTCCTTCACACCCCTTCTCCCCTTAATCTCCCCCTTCCCTCCCTTTCTCCCCCACACCTTCCTCTCTCACCCCTCCTCCCTACCATTAAAGACACGAACACCGGGGACTTCTCCACCACGCCCAATGATGACACGCACACACACACACACACACACACACACACACACACACACACAATAATCAGGTCTAAGACAGCACAACACGCACATATATTGACCTACCGTGACCCATGACCCACCACGTCACTCACTCACTCACTCACTCACTCACTCACTCACTCACATTTCCTACAGTCTACATTTATAGGTAGTAAGTAGAAGTGTATA